CAGCTGTCACAGAATCACAGAATGTTCGGGGTTGGAAGGGACCTCTGTGGGTCATCTAGTCCAACCTCACTGCCGAAGCAGGGTCTCCTACAGCAGGCTGCACAGGACCTTGTCCAGGCGAGTCTTGAATATCTCCAGAGAAGGAGACTCTATAACCTCCCTGAGCAACCTGTTCCAGTGCTCCGTCACCCTCAGAGGGAAGAAGTTCTTCCTCATGTTCAGACGGAACTTCCTCTGCTTCAGTTTGTGCCCGTTGCCCTTTGTCCTGTCGCTGGGCACTACTGAAAAGAGCTTGGCCCCATCCTCCTGACACCCACCCTTAAGATATTTATAGGCATTTATAAGGTCCCCTCGCAGCCTTCTCTTCTTCAGGCTGAACAATCCCAGCTCCCTCAGCCCTTCCTCCTAGGACAGATGTTCCAGTCCCCTCATCTTCCTCGTAGCCCTCTGCTGGACTCTCTCCAGTAGCTCCTCATCTTTCTTGAACTGGGGAGCCCAGAACTGGACAGAGTACTCCAGATAAGGCCTCACTAGGGCAGTGTAGAGGGGAAGAAGAACCTCACTCGTCCTGCTGGCCGCACTCCTCTTGATGCATCCCAGGATCCGATTGGCCTTCTTGGCAACCTGGGCACACTGCTGGCTCATGGTCAACCTGTCATCCACCAGCACACCCAGGTCCCTCTCCACAGAGCTGCTCTCCAGCAGGTCCGCCCCAAGCCTATACTGGTGCATGGGGTTTTTCCTCCCCAGGTGCAGGACTCTGCACTTGTCCCATCCTCAATTTCTCTTCTGGATTCCTCTTGGTGGGTGGTGACAGGATGGGTCTGCTATGCCGTCTGGCAGCCAGCAGTTTCTGTGCTGCCATCTTTTTGCCTCCAAACTTTGCTCACTTGGTGCTCCATGAATCTTCTGCAGGGCTTTTCTCCCGTTACTTTCATTTTCCCCTTTTGGGTGTCTTTTCAGCTGCAGCCTCTCCCTCTTTTGGAACGAGGGGAAGAAGGAAGGTGTGTACAGGCTGGCATGACCTGCTGGCCATCCTCCGCTGTCCAAGCGTCGGTCTTCCAGCCGCAACTCATCTGTGCTGGGCCTTAGCTGAGCGCTGGCCTTCGGGGGGGTGTAAACAGTGCCTTTCCCAGTTTTATGGCTATAAATGATGTTCTTGGTTGTCAGCGTGCGCCTTTGCTCTGTTTCTCCTGGTGCTTTCACACATGGCTCCATTCATTCATTCTTCGTGTCAGCCAGTGTTTCTGTTACAACTTGTATGTCTTTACAGCGCTCAGAAGTGTCACTAACCGTCAATGTTGTCACTGATGACACAGCAGCTCGCTGATAACCCCAGCAGAAAGGCCACTTTTCAGTTCATCACACAATCCCAAGAACAACCTCAGATCCATGACTTGTTTCCCTGACCTTTCATTTTCACCCAGCACAGTTTGGGTACAGCTTTGTAAGATTCAGTTAAGGCATCTTCATTAAAATGATGTCCCCATCCCGGCTGCTCCCCCAGCTCAGAGCAGCACGACATTGGTATGGATCGGTTCAGGTCTGGTTTTTGGTTTCTGGTGAGGACAGCGAAGGATCCCCCTGTGATATACTGAATAGTCAAGGCAGAACGAGGAGTCGGTCTGCTCACCACCCAAGCTCCAAACCTTTCAATTTCCTTCACTGTTGAGAATAGGCTTCCCTGAACTACGAATTGTAGGTGACCGTAACTGTCTCGCTCTGACCGTCTGTCACCACCTGCATAAGCGCGTAGGAGAAGTGGGGTGGTTGGGTGTCCCCAACAGCCTCTGTCAGGCGTGTGTGGCACCCTCCTCCTGAACGCGTTCCCCTGGCTTCACAGGACGGAGTTCGTGATCACACCTGGGCAGCTGCTGAGAAGACCATTACCGGAGGGACAGTGGCAGGTACAGCTTCCAAAAATGGCTCCAAAAAACATCGAGTGAGATGCATACAAGCTCGTACCAGCTTCCCCAGCAGACTCTTCATTGCACAGTAGCTGTATTTCCAGGTCTTCTACAATACATTGCTGTGACGCACAGCTTGTGGGAGCTGTAACCCTCTGTCTAGCAGTTTTGCTCAAGCAGCAGGTTGGGCATGAGCAAACATGCAACTTTTCAGCCGCCGCTGTTGATTTATCGCTTGAAGTGAGTTTGTTTTTGTGCGCCCTTGTGAAGCACAGAGGGAGCAATCTTCTGGAACAGAAGGGAAAAAAATGCATTGGCACTGAGGCATCGCTGCTTGGTGTAACCTGTCTCTGCTGCGGTTCTCTCTGCTGCTTTTGCCTGGTTCCTCCCAGCACCTCCAGCCCCATTGCCAGCACCCTGACCCGCTGCAGAACTGCGGCTCTGACAGGGTTCGTGGGCTTCAGCTCCGCAGCTCCCGCTTCCAGGCGACAGCGCCTCGTAAACGTTTACCTTTGTATCCAACCGCTTCAGGTGATTCTCCTGAACGTGTCGACCGAACAGGACACGCAGCCCGTGGCCTGACAGCTGCTCTCAGCCCCGCGGCCGAGACGCGAAGGCACTCAGGGCCCGAAGGCACTACGGGCTGTGGCGGCAGCACAGCCGTCGGCTGGCAGGCTCCCACCAGGGTGAAGTCCTCCGGGCACCTGGAGCTGTTAAAACACAGCAGGCAACTGATAGCGCTGGGCACGTGCTCCAGATCTCATAGTTCTGATTTTCTGCTGAAACAAAAAGCTTTGAAATGCCTCACGAACGCTGTGTGTTAGGAAGAGTGAGCGGAGCACATGGTTGTGTGTGGCGTCGGTAAATGTGTAGTACATTGGAAGTAGCTTGAGAATTTACTGGCTCGGAGGTCTGTCCAGTGTACTGTTCTGTTGCCTTCTAAGCACTGAAAAAGTTCCTTCCAATTTGTTTACTGGGCTCAATATTAGACATTCATTTATTTTCAAATTTTCTGAGGGAAAAACATAAAAACCTATGAAATACAGTTATGGATTTTTTTTTAGCACCAGTGATATTACTGGTGGTCATGGAGCCTTCTCCCAGGTACTCCAATGCATCCAGCTAGTTGAAATCCTGAATAATTGTTTTGTTGTCTGTATATGCAGTTAAAATCTGAAACGATCGCTTGGAAACACTGAAGATGCTGTTTAGAAAAAGCGGGACTTTAAAAACTGTGTAAATCATGGAAATTGGGTCTTCAGATGAGTAACGCAGGAGACACTAAAACCACCTGTGTATTCCCTGGGGTGGCTGTTACACTGCTGCCGTGATCAAAGAAAACCACAGTTGTATTTCCAATGGAAAAATTCTCCTTTTCAGTCACAGCAGCTGTCATAAACCCGACCAGGGTGAGACAGCGGATGAGTGCCCACTGGCACCCGTCACGACGCCCCGTCGCTCAGAAGCGTCTTTCCAGGGGCTCTGTCAGTTCCCAGGCCCTGCTGGTGGGTGCATGAGGTTTGCTGCTGCTGTGTCAGAGCTGAAGAGCGGAAGCATCTGAAAGCCTTTCCCCCCACAGCTGTATCAGCCAGTCTCATGAGGTACGGCACCGGGTGTGGAAGCCTGCTTCGCCTTGGGGAAGGGGGAGAAAGGGCTGGGGAGATTCACTGCAAGCAGAGGAACATCCCCCTGTGTCTTCTTATTTTCTTATCCTTTGTATTTTTTCTGAAACAGCAGCAAACATCTCTTAAGCAAGACACGGAGCGTACCGTATTTTGTATCTACTGCAAGACAGGGAGCTGTAACACGGTGCAGTTGAATGTCCTGAGTAGGCAAATTCATAGTGAGCCTTTGGCAGATACTGCTTGTCACAACGCAGTGCTCCGAGTTCAGTGGCTTTTTTAAAACATGCAAACATAGCTCTCATGTAGCCTTTGATCTCACAAAGAGATTTCATTTTTCTTTTCCTCCTTAGTGGGCTTTACACTTTCTGATTTAACGGCAGTTGGTAATTTTCTTTTTACAGTGCTGCTCAAAATTTATTAATTAGTAACACTGGTCACAAGTCCTCCCTTTTTGCATAGCTGGTGTGTATTGTGCTGAAATATAGGCATTTTTACTGCATACAGTGATTAGGAGCCTGATGCCATTATGTGAAACCTTTCTTCTAAGCCAGCTGGTGGTCCTCTGCAGATCGTAGAAGGCTTATTGCTCCAGGAATACGCTAAAGAGGTTTGGGTGCCCTTTGAAATTATAAGGGGCAGAAGAAACTGGGTTTTTGTCAGCTTCTTGGGCAACAGGGAATTACAGAAAATGGTCTTAAATAACTTTAGTGTCCATTTGGTTGTTTTAGAGAGCTAAAAGTTAAACCCAGCAAAATATGCAGAAGGTGAAACCTTCTCTCTCTATATATCTGCATATATATATGTGTGTGTATATATATATGCGCATATGCAGAAGGTGAAAAGAAATCATCTTTTTCCCACTTCGTGTTTCTTACATTGCCGTTAGTAGGAGTTTGGTGTGAATATAGCAATGTGACAGTAATACATAGTTCTTAGCACTTTTTGGGCCATATTTCTCCTCCTTTGAAGCACAAGTTTTATCTACCTTACTGACCAGTGATATGAGGACAGTAGGCTGAGTTTACAGATAATGGCGTACTGCTTAGATTGCTTAAAGGGCTAATATCAAAGCTCTGATGCAAGCGTGCATATATGTGTTAAAAATCTAGTAAGGCATATGCTAAGAAAAGAATTTAAAAAATTTGTGCTGAGAGAGAACATTTTTAAAGGAAACATTGAGCAAGAAAAAATAATCTTGAGCTCTTGTATTAATATGTACAATTTTATATGCATATTAGTAGTTAAAAGGATGCCATATTTTAGCAGAGTGAGATTCTCAGAGGAGAGACGGCGAAGAGATGGCAAAGGTGGGGTGCTGAATTACAGCGAGAGCTGAACAGATCAGTTTGTCAGCACAAGAGTAACCAGGTAAGCATTAGGTGCTCCTGTGCTTTTCATGGTAAGGATTCTTTGCCTGTGCTCAAAATGAAAGCAAAAACAAATGGACTGTTTGCTAACAGTCTGCGACATGACGTTTGTTAGATCTGTTTGCCCGGTGGTGTGAATAAAGTTTCTCTTTGGAGCCAGAAGCTGGTGCCGTGTAGGTGCTACATGATGCGTCGTGTGGTGGCTGCAGCCCCGTGCTGTGGAGACAGCCCTGGCCGTGGGCAGCCAGCCTCCGCTCTCTGGGGCGGCTGCAGACACGCAATAATATTAATTAATCAGCAGACAGTAGACATTGCAGTGGAGGCAGAACAAAGTCCGAAGCTGACCTGTATTCAGCTAAATGCAGCGTGCAATCCTGGTGTAGAATTGCTGCTAGCAGGCAGATTAGGATAAAACTGGGAAGTAAGTGGTTAGGGTAGAGCTGGAGAGGCCAGGATTAGGCCGTTTCTGTCTGTGTGTCTGTTTTTTTGCTGATAACCCAGAGAGACATTGAGAACTGGTTGTTTCGCAGCTTACGGGGATGGAAGAGAAGGGTTTTTTCAGGGAAGCTGAAATGAGTCCCAGGGACTGGAGACCGTGTGTGGTGTGAGATAGCAGGGCAGCAGCATTCATGTCCGAGAGCCACAAGGTTTCTGGATTGGCCTTACTTTCTTTTGCAGTGACATTTTGGGCCTTGGGGAGACAGAAAGCAGCGAGGTGATGCCGTGGGCTCTGCCTGACTTCTTGCAGAGACTCCCTCCCCTCCCCAAGCACTCTGATGGGAAAAAAATTGACAGTTCAGTCTATGTACACAAATAAGTCTGGATTACACAAAATGGGAACACAGTTTTGCACTGATAATTTTTTTTTCACGCTCTCTAAGGACTGGCAGAGGAATGGTACATAGCTAAGCCACCGCAGAGGCCAGCCCTGTGACCTCCTGGCGCCAGGCAGTGCTGGCGAGGTCAGGCTCCAGCAGGCGACGCGTCTGCCCTCCATGGGCATACCGGGGCCGGGCAAGCAGCGCGGTGGGACGCACAGCGGTGGGGAGGGAAGGGGGATTGCCCTGTGCCGTTGGCCACAGGGAACTGGTTTTATGGATCTGTTGCATTTGGGGCTGCCAGTCCAGGCGATTCAGATTAGTTTATAAAACATACTTAAAAGCTGAAAATAAATAAAAATTAGTCAACCCTACAAGAGGATTAAGTAAAACAGGGACAAATGAAAAGCAGAAGGAACCTTAAATTGCAACAAATAATAGGAAATATTGACTAATGACTCAGATAGTTGTTTGCAAAGTAAAAAAAAGTGCTATGTGCTTTGTAGCCAAAAGAAAGAACAGAACAAAACTGATGGTAATACAGACCATATTTACTAAATGACTCATTATTCCTCCTAGTTATCTTCAGAAATCTCTCTGTAGCAAAATTCCCATGATCAAACTGTCTTTTGAGACTAACTTCCCTGGGATTAGCAGGCTTGTGGGTTTTTGGGGCTTTTTTTTTTTTTTTTTTTTATTTACAGTCATACCTTCTCAGATAACTCAGAAAGAAACCTGAATATATTAATGTGATTCAAGACTCAGGTTGGCAGTCCACTGTAGATTTCTCTGCTGAATTAAAGAAATCAAGGCCATGCCTTTAAGCGCCGTTCCTTTCCTCCTATGTGTCCATCTCCTGATAACATTACTTTCAGCTCCTTGAAGCTGGGATTTTCAAATGAAGCGCTGTGCATATTTGCAGAGCATTCATACGGCTCTTGATTTAATGTTCTCTGTTAAAGGCATGCGTTAGCATATACTAATCCTTCTTTCATCTTTTTTTTTCCAGACAGCTGAAACGTGACCATCCCACTGCTGTAATTCTTAGTACCGATGACTTCTTTATTGAAAATGGTGTATACGTGTTTGAGCCCGAGTTCCTAGAGGATGCGCACAAATGGAACCAAAAGAGAGGTGACTGGAGTTGGTCTGGGGGTTTTGCAGAATAGTTTTACTTTTCAGTCTGTCTTTAAACTTAGCCCCCAAAATAAAATATCTCAAAGCCCTATCATACACTGCAGTGCATGGCATACTGGTTAAAAAAAATACCTGTACCACTTCTGATTTTATTTCTTCTGTCTTACAAGAGAGAAATTTATAAATGAAAAAATGTTAGTGATGGATAGATGTTATTTTAGAAAGTAAACCGGTGACTATTAGGTAGCACTGCTGAAGCTTGGTAATGGCAGGTGGCATGCAAATACCAGCCCAGCAGCTGCTCAGCACAGCTCTGTCCACCGCAGCCTTCAGGCTGCAACAGTTTAGATGTCTGTCCAGACGGACTTCGAAGGGCACATTATGGGGGCGAGCTAGTGATAACCAGGGGGAAAACTTGCAAACCTAATTATAAGTTTGGGAATGAAACAAGCCAGGTCTCTACTTCAGGGAGCAAAACGTAACATGCTTTTGTGGCTGTGTTCTGAACTCATTTCTAGCAATGGCAAACACCTTGAGCTTATGTAACAGGGATCTCTCTGCAAATAACAGTCATTTTTAGCTGTTGTAAATACCTAGTGCTGTGACACCGCTAAGTATTGTCCTAGGAGAGCTTCAGCTCTTGGCGCTAAGCACAGGCACCGGCTGCGTGCCCTCCTCCAGGAGAGCATCTGCTGGGCACTGCCCTCTGCTCGCGTTCGGGCCGTGGCTGAGAACCCCAGGCTGGTGGGGAACCAAGCGCGCTAGCAGCGGGCAAAGAGAGGACGCTTTGGGGCTAGTAAGACCTGGCTCAGTCTGTTACTGAATACATTTTAGCATTATTTAATGTGTTACATTACAGCACGCAAGGCAATGAAGAATGGGAAAAGCACTGTTATTATTGATAATACCAACATCCATGCTTGGGAAATGAAGCCGTATGTGATCATGGTAGGGGAAGCTCCGATTAGCTGTGACATTTAAGAGGTGATCTGACTGAAACAGTGCTTCACATAGCTAATGAGAATTACTTCACTGTCCCCTTAGTCCTCTAATTACAGTTAATGCTTGATACTGCAGAGAAGTAGGGGAAGAGGTGCCAGTGTAGTTGTTTTATCTAGTCAGAGAAATACCTCAGTGAAGGCAAAATTACTTGAAAGGATTAACAGTCTTTGAACTTGCCCTGGAACTTCTTGGTGATCAGGATGCCATCCTCTTCCCCAGTAGTGATGTGAATTGAACAGTTCCCAAACTATTCATCGACAAACACATCGAGATATGACTTAAAATTTTAGTTTATGACTTTTAAAAAATAAACCATAAGGAGTCTTTGAAGACACATTGGTATCTCTTGCAGGAGTTCTGGCAGAGATGGCAATATTTTTAGTACAGTTTCATAATGGGGCCTGTCTGCTCACATGACATTCATGCTTGTGCACAGCTATAACTTCTTGGGTTATGGGCTCGTCAGTTAAGAAATTTGGGTCATATTGCTGGTATGGAAACACAAAAGAGGCAATAATTAATAATTATGCTGGGAATCCTGGACATGCCACTCCAGTAGCAGCAGCTGTGAATGCCTGTGTGTGACTGGGAAGCACGCGAGCGAGCACAGCCAGAGGTTGGCAAGAAGTTAAAAAGATCAACAGATTTCCCTGTCTCCTTTCCCCCCAATCAAAACCCAAAAGCAATCAATAATTGTATTAAATATATATATGCACATGCATGTATATTTGTGCATGTGTGTATATACGTGTGTCTGTGTATACACACAGATAGGTTGCTTTATGTTGGAAAAAACTGAGGCCTGTAGACTCAGTGGCTGGAAATAGCATGGCTGATAGATGTTGCCCTCACACTCCCAGAAGCTCCAGATTGGCATGGCCAACTTGTGGCTCTTGAACCATCTGTGACTCCCAGAGAGTTCAAGCGCCAGGATGCTGTTGTTGTGGGGGATGGGGCCTGGGCCACTGCTGAGCCAGGTTTTGCTGGGAGACCCAAGTTCTTTGGTGTAGAAGGAAATGAACCAGCTGGGACTCAGCCAGTCATGGTTATCTTCCTGTTTCTGGCTCCTGGTACCTGCGATACATCTCCTGGTCAGATAAAATCACAGGGGGTCTGGAAGCTTGGCCATGCCAGAGCTCAGCAGCCACATGTCTAAAACTTCTGTGTACTTCTTCAGGCACGTGAAAATAGATATGAAGTTACATTCCGAGAACCAGATACACCCTGGAAGTTCAATGTCCCAGAACTGACGAGGTACATCTTTTTCTCTTTGGTATAGCAGACAGCTTCTCATTTTATTGACGTGCTCTGAGAAAGGTCAGCACTCTTCATGTATTGTAAAAAGTAACCTAGTAAATGACAACAGAAGGATTGTTGCAGAAAATTTCTATTACTCAGTACCTGGTCTGCAGTGAATTCAGCCCTGAAAGAGCCTGACCGTGCTGAAGCAAGTCAGGCAGTAGAAAAAGCAAGCCCCACCCCCCACCTGAAAGCATGTATGTATACTGCAAGCTTCTTGTAGCAGGAACCCTGATTTTCATTCCATATTTTGAGCAGCGCTTTCTCTATTTGGGCATAAACCACATCTAAGCACTACAGAAAACATTCAGACATCTGTTCTTAAAAAATCGAACCGTAACAAATATTGTCTTGCAATGGTGGGATGCTACATTAAGCGGGGTCAAGAAATGAGGTTCTGCAGGATATTTCTGAAGGTCTTAATGCACGCATAGAGAAGGAATACAATGAGCTTACCAACTGCATCATGTGGTGGGATATAGAGGCAGCCAAATATGGCTTTAAGTACGTTAGTTTGGCTAGTGGCTGCAAGGTTAATGGTTATATCTCTAAAAAAAAATTAATGCAGGCTAATTTCCTAGCCTTTAACCAACCTGATGTAAAGCACGTTGCAGTGAATAGTGCACTCCCCGGTGCAGGTCCAGAAGCTAACGTCTGCCAGCTTACTTGTTATTGCAAGGAAGCAGGGCATGGGTGCTTCATTCCGACTGATTTCTTTGTGTCGTACCAGCTAGGAACTCTAGTCAAAACTCAGCACGGCTCCCTTTCGCGCCTGACACAGACAAGTGGCAGAAGGCCGTGGCCCAGGGTGTGCGCGCTCCAGGGTGCAGCAGGACATGGCAGATGGCAGCCAGTGGCTTGGGGATGGAGGCAGGCGAGGACATCGACAGCAGTAGCAGGCAACTGCAAACTTCATAGTCATAGAATCATGGAAGCTTTGGCTCTTGCTTCACCAGCACCAGCTGGGAGCCATTGGTAGGGCATCACTGCGGAGGCAGCTCTTACTGGTAACCATTCATTATAGGCCGAGCTACTTGGTAACTTGTATTTTGTTTTATTTATCATTTGAAACAAGACAGCTTTTTACAGCAGCCCTGTAAAGCTAATTCAAATACACTCAGTTTGGAGCAGCTCTTTGGCAACCGATTCTGGGACAGCTGAAGGTTGCTTCCAGTCCGGTTCCACACCGCGTCTTTACTGGCAACACAGTTTGTTCTGGTTGCTGGTCCCAGACATTTTTTTGACCTCCATACTTGTCGTTTATGAGTCAGTGCCTGGGCTATCTACAGCCCTTGTCTGCCATTTCTCCAGGTGCACAAAAGCTCACCCTGAGGCTAACAGCCCATTAGCATTAAAACCCAGCAATACTCATATGAAATAATACCCAGGTCTTCTACACAGCTCTTTCATTTCAAAGGATTTGTCTAACTGCTTATGTCCTGGCTGCCCACAGAAGGACTTGTGTTACATTTTTCAACAGTCTCAATAATATTTTTAAGAAGTAGGTAGAAGTGAACAACAATTTGGCAAGAAAAGGGCTAGAAATAGATCAGCAGGGACACGAACCTTTATCCTGAACATAGCAGGTCCTTTAGCAAGCTTAAGATAAGCTCTAATACATGGGCAGCTAAATACTTGTATTGTCTGAATGTTGACTCTACAGAAGAAATATTCATCATGTCCCTCGACAAAAGATACAACAGATGAAAGATCAATATGAGCACAACGTTACCTTCCACAGCGTTCTTCAGTCTGAGAAACCCAGCAGAGATGAGAGAAGCTCCAGCGGACCAAACACAGCTTATGGCATGGGTGCCCGCTCCAACCGCCCTCCAGCCTTCTCAAACCGGAGACCTCATGTGGCGCATAGAAACCACATGTCATTTCACTAGAGGTGGATTCCTCACTGTGTTTTAATTATCAGGGTATCAAAGTGTCTAGTTTCACCTTTTTTTCCTAAACTGCCTTTTAGTCTTGTATTTTTCTACTACATTTCTAAATAACTTTTCTTACAAATTTTTAAATGTCACTAGATTATGCCCTCACAGTGCTACATGACTAAGTACAAACTGTACCCCTCCTCATCCCTCTTCCTCCACGAAAATCCATTCAAGCTTACAGTGACATTTACTGGCTGTGCCACCTGCTTCAGGGGCTTTTTTCCCTGCATTGCACTCTGTCACTAATAGAGCACAATAAATATTCCTAAATTCTTCCTTTCTTACAGGCCATGTGGCCAATTCCTTCTCCATGCAGTTGTCATTTCTTCCCATTGTAATACTTTCTAGCTGGCTGTACAACCTTTTGTAGAGCGTTACTGCTAGCTGTAAGAGAGGCAAAGCAAGTTGTGGAAAAGGTGTCGAGATTTGATGCCGTTCCCTACCTACACCTCTGCTGTCTGGATTCGTGCTGGTCTTCCCTCGGCTTTGTCACAGCCAACATGCTTCTCCAGCCTGGAGGCAAAACACTTTCGCACACCAAGCTGAGCCCTTTATCTTGCCAAGACATAGGAGATAACTGATCTGGAGACGAGTCCACAAATGGAGGCTCCTACAAGGAAACATCAGTGTTAAGCTAGTGCTTGGTAACTTCTGAGAAGGAACAGGGCTACAGGAGGAGCTCTGAACAGCTGAAGCCCAAAGCTACCAAACACCTGAACTAACTCAGAAGTACAAAATAATGACTTAAGAAAGGAGAAAAAAAAGTGTTCTCGTAAGGGGAGAAATCAGCTCCTTCCACCACTAAGCACCTACAAGCCACCGACTGATGGATGAGTGAGAAAAGCAGCTGTCCTGCAGTAGTTTTATCCATATTGTTAAATTCTGCTGATTATGTCCTCATCAAGAAGCCTCATTAAACATTTTTAAAAGTTGGCATTTGGTGATGGCAACTTTTTTGTAAGTAGGTGTGGATTATGAGGCAGTACTTACAGAACAGGACAGTAGCGAGTTAGCAGCAGGACATGAAGGCAGCTCACACTGGACATTAAGAGAGATGGGTAATGCTGCTCTTCATCTAGCAACATGGCAGAAATAGTATAAAGAAATATGCTGTTTCTGAGCAAAAGCCAAACTCTTCAGGCCACAGTAGATGTACGAGATGAATTGCATTTTCTGCTCAAGCTGCATTTAAAGAAGTAGTATCACCATTGTAAATAACTGTGAACTATGGGCCTAAGGAACCTGGCTCTGCAGTATTGTAAAAGTTTACAGACCCATCAGCAAGCTGCTGTCAGCCCATTACATGTCTCCTGTCCTGCTACAAAGTCCAGCTTGGTCACAGGAGCCACCCCCAGCTCAGCACTTGAGCCAAGTGAATGGCACAGCACCCTCAAAAGGTTGCCGAGTGGGAGCTGGTGGTCTCAGTTCTGAAACATCCTCCCTCCTTTGACCCATGCCCCGTGGGAAGCAGCAGGGGACAGCCCCACAACAAACAAACTAAAAAATGGAGGTGGCAGCAATTAACGAGAACAACGTAATGAATTCAAATACTAACTCACTGCCCGCAGAAAGGGAGATGAAATCAAAGAAAGATCTGATTATCTTTCATGATGCCGTGGCCTCAGGTGCTTCTTTAAGGAGGAGCAGCTCAGAAACACTGACCAAGGAGGATCTCTCATTAATACTTTAATAATCATAGCTGTTCTCTAAAACTCTTCTAGCACTATATGGAAAGTTTGAGGGGAAAAGTGCTGTGGCAGAATTAAAGTGCAATATTTCAGAAGTTTTACATTTGGTAACAATAAACTTACCAAGAATTATTTATTTTGCCCTGTGCTACTTCTGACAGCCAGACACCTATTCTAATACTACAGAGGGTAGCAAAACTGAACAAAGATCGCACTGTAATTTAGGAACACATCAGAGTCGAAGCAGAAAAGGCTAATAAAATGTCATCAAGCCTTCAGCCACACTGATGCTATTGTACCACACGTTTGTGTGAGAAATGTATAATTACTCAGCTGCAAATTATTTTGCAGATGAAACGTCATTGAATGAGGCTTTGTTTCTGTAATATAGCTTTATTAAATACAATCAGGATTTAATGTACAAAGGGTAAAAATAATTTGAATTTGAAATATATACAATAGTGTACATGTGCATTTAGCAGCATTTTCAGGGTTTTTGTCTTTGTAGCTTTCTGGGGGCTGGTAACGAGTCCTCAGGCTCCTTTGCGTCTTTCTGAAGAGCCTCAGCTACTTCAGAACTGCTTTTTAATGAGTTATTTGGTTCCCTGGTAGACCTGGAACTATTTTTGGGTGAAAGATTATCAGATAAATCAGTAGCTGTTGTACCGCTGTTTTGATTTACATAATGCATCTTCTTTTCTTCTGATAAATTATTCATGAGTGCTTGTGTATTAATCATTGCAAGTTCCTCATCAGCAACCAGGTCATTCTCAGGAAGGTGGACAGTTTCTCTCAATTTTCTACAGGGGGTGACACGACCAAAATTGCCATTTGCTTCTTTTGATGACTTGCTACGCTCTAAACCCAAACGTCGTGGCGGCTGAAATGCCTTTTTTAACGATGGGGAAATAACCGAACAGATCGGTGTCAGTGGTGGAGGGGCAGGTATGCAACTGAGGAAGTCCATCGCTCTTCTCTTTTTGCTGTTTTTGGGGTGGTCTTCATTAACTGTAGCAGATGAAGGCGTTTTTGCTGACCCTTGTGTGACAAGTTTCATATTCGGCGTGCTAGTTGACAAAGGGCTTGGATGCTTGATTTCAATTTTAGAAGAGATCTAGTTAAAAAGAGATAGAATAGAATATCCTGTTTCATTAGCTTCCTCAACTGCTTCCACAAAACGGGAAAAAAAGTGATACAAAAATGCTGTGTCATCATTCATGTCCAATTTAACTTCAGTTTGATATCTTCTGACGGTGACTAATATTATTCTTTCAAGTATTAATGCCTGATAAATCATTGTTTACATACACATTAAGACAGCACATTTACACTCTGTTGCTGAGATCTGAGCTAACTGTATGGGAACTTTTCTGTGCCAGACAAGAAAGAAATCAAAGAAGAAATCAGAGCACTCATAGAAAGGAGTCAAGTCTTCTACTACATTGGATAGGTCCTCAATAGATTGTTAAACAGGGAAAAACGAGGAAAAGATGTTGAAGAAAAAAGGGTAGAATATAGACCAAAAAACTTGAAGATAACAATACACACAGGATAGAAGTTACACAGCAAATAATTCAAACGCATGCTTTATTTGAGAATACCTTTAGTGTCTGATCTGTTTTAACTTGGTTAATACAGTTAATAAATGGGTATAAACTAAACCTTCAGAATTAAATATTAGCACTCTATCTGAAATGGAAAAGGATGCCTTATAAGCTTAAATTTAGTCCCCAGGAATTGGTCTCACACCAGGGTGTTTCCATGTCCCTTGCAACTAGTGGCAGGAAAAAATATTTGTTCTGACTCCGCTCAGTTCTCCACATCAGGAACGACTTAGCAGCAGCAGCCTTCTTGGAACCTTCAGTACAAGTTAACTCAATTTTTGTCAAGACTGCTATAAAATGTAAGCATTTACTGGGTGACACCTCCTCCCTTCTAAATCCTGGAAACAGTGAACAATATCTCAGAAAAAAAGACCAGGAGGTAAATTCTGCAAGCAAAGGCAGGAGCTGTAGAATGCCCTGAAAGAAAAATTTACCGATCAAGATTTTTCCTTCCAGTGACATCCATGTCAGATAATCTTCACAGAGGGACCAAGGAAGCAATAAATCATCCATAGGAAAAGGATGATTCATTTTACTCTTAAAACTTGGAATATTTAAAGTATGCTGTGAAAACACAGGCCACAAGGGGAGGTTTTCATGTACTGCTTGGAGAAAGAATAGTCTCACAGTTCCTCCTGGGGAATAACCCTAAACCCAGACACAAAGAAAGCTTCTAATCAGCTTGCACTGCCCTGAAGAGAACATATGGAGTGGACCCAGAAGCGAGACCATTCACCACAGCCACCAGTGTCAAACATGCTTATATACTTACTGTATGTACTGTCAAGTGTAAACACAATATTCACTACCAGAAGCTTACCAAACTTCTATCGTCTGCATAAAGGCCTGAGTAGCCAGAAGGAGAGGGGCATTCCAAGCCACATCTTTTAGTTAAACTGGGTGGAAGCACGAGATTTCTTTGTAGCAAATTCGTCAATTTACTTTCTGCATCAGAGCAAAAGGAGGTCACATTCTATAAAGGAGAACAGATTACAATGCAGAACAGTTGTTTTCCAAATTAAGTACCATATGCTTGAAAAGTATTTAGGACTTTGTTTTCTCATCGTAATCCCACCAGAAGTTTATTTTCTATCAAACCAACAACTTAGAATACTGCTCTACTTTCTGGGGAGGGAAATATCATACCTTCCTTTTATTGTTAAGAAGAAAAAAATCCTTTTGTATTTAAACTTATTTTTCAGTAAGAAGTGAGAATGCATGACCAAGACATGCTATTTAGCACAGCTAGAAAATTGAAATAATAAATGAAAATCAACTGAGCAAGACAGTGAATTTCAACTTGTAAAAGGCTAGACCCAAACTGTCCATGACCGATTCCCTGTTGACAGGTACAATACTTTTTTCTAGCCAGAGAATATTCAGCTCAACCAACACTGTCTTTAGTATGTGCCATGGAATTTAAAAAAAAAACAAAACTAAAAACAAGAAACAAACAAAAACCCAAAAGACATTCAATAGGTGATATGGTGAGTCCTCCACAAAAGTGCATTAATGCCTTACTCTGTCTCCCAGAAAATCCCCTCGAATTCAACATTATGTACATTACTTGTTTTAAAGATTTGTTAGTACTAACGGACTTTTTGGTGAAGACTGTAACAAAGCAGGAACTAAAATTAATCGTTAAACTAAAAATTTACAG